AAAGAGAAAAAAATTCGTCATTTCCTATCACATATATACGACTAGAAATTGTAACAAATATTTGTTTATTTAAAAAAAAACACATTCTTCTTAAATAAACAAAAATTTATTAAAAAATAAATTATTCCACTTGAAATTTGCAGTTTGAGTGTAGATGTATATATATACACGTATCATGTTTGCTTGCACATGCGCAATGATTAGAGGTTCTAGTATTACACTGCAGATTATCTAATTTGCACAGAGCGCCGTCAATCCACATACAAGATGTGGGTGTCAATTTCAGTCAATTTACTATTGAACGGACATGTTCCTATTGGACACTACAATAGAAAGCCTTCCACACATAATTAATACGATTCACTATATAAGAATGTTGCTCGAGTTTTTACACGAAAAAATTGTTTATAATTTAATTAATTTAATTTTTTCTTAAACTCTTTTTATTTTTCTATTACTAAAAAAAAAACATCGTTTCCCAGAAACTGATTTACGACAACTTACAAAATTAAGTAAAATAATTTTTAGGTTAGGAATTCAGTGACTTGAAATTTAACAGTGCCAACCATGTAACACAAAACTAAATAGATAATGGCGCTAAATTTAAAAATAATATTAACTATTTAATGAAAAATTATTTTTTTAATATTTTTAGAAATTTTATTATCACATAAAATATAAGGAACATATATTTTAATTTTTTTTTTTACAATCATTGCAAAGTATGATTAATCCTTTAATATTGAAAACATTTTTTTTTTACTGATGTACAGAATAATTATAAGGTATTTCCCATAATATAATTAGAAATATTTAACTAAAACAGTTGAGAGAGAGAGAGAGGGGGGAAGAGAGAGAGAGGGGAAGAGTTTAACTACACTCCAGTGAATATTTCCGCTATATTATCTCCTTTTCATTTTGTTTTTATTTTCAAAGAAAATTGTTGAACTAAATTCAACCTAAATCTAATTAAATGAAATTTAAGTAAATTTTATGTTTTTGTGGAAAACCATTTCTCCAATTTCGCTGCATTTGTAATTTGCATTAATTTATCTCACACACGTTAATGTTAAAACGCAAATAATTGTTTATCAAATAAAATAATTTAACGACTTTCGTGTAATATTATTTTAGTTTGTATTTGAAACAAACGCTAATATAAAACTCATATTACAAATATTTAAATATTTATTTAAATTGTTAAAAGTTTTCTACTTATTTTTTTATTACAATATACACATATAGGTGTGTAAATTTGGGACGTTCTTTGTCAACCGGACCACCCCATCTCTCCATAATTGGTTTAATTTAAAAAAATTTCATCATATTGGAAAAATTAGCTTGGAATGTCTACTTTATAATCCCGTTGGGCGCTTTTTGAAATTCAAAATGGCGACTTAAATATGGCGCCTAAACGACATAAAAAACACAAAAAATCCACTAATACGATCTATATTAATGTTTAAAGCTTCACATATGACGATAAAAATAACCACAACATAGTTTACTTACAAACTGATAACGTATCTCCATTCAAAATTCAAAAATTCAAAATGGCGGATTAAATATGGCGGATAAAATTAAATATTGAGATAGGCTCGTGAAAATTACTACCTGGGGGTTTTCGAGGTCGCTGTTTACAAATTTGATGTCAGTTTTTAAAAATTCTAAATGGCGGACCAAAAATTTAAAAAATTGAGCTAATTTCGTAAAAATATCTTCATAGGGGTTTTTTTGGTCGCTGATTACAAATTTGATGTCAGTTTTAAAAAATTTTTAAATGGTTGATGACAAATTTTTATTTAAAATTCAAAATGGCGGATAGAATTAAAAAATTAAGCTAGTCTTGTGATTATTAATTAAATAATCCTCACGAAATTTCCATAAAAAGTTATCTGGCGTTGTATTTGATAAGTTCAAATGGCACTTTTTTACGTTCAATATAAAAAAGTTAGATCAATTTTTTATATTTTGGTCCTCCATTTTAGATTCACCATTTTGATTTTTTAAAAAGTAACGATGAATTCGTAACAGGGTGTCTACTAAAAATCTGAATTAAAATTCCAGGATTTTTCAGGACAAATTTCATATTTTTCCAGGACATTAAATTGGATGACTTTAAGGAATAAAAAAATTTTTAGTTTAACTATTGTTATCAGAAATTATTAAAAAATTAATTAATTACTTAAGTAAATTTTCATTTTACTTATTTAACGAATTTTTTTTTAACTTGATTGACAAAATTAGAAATTTTTGAAAATTTAAAAGCAAAATATAAAAAATTCAAGGACAAAAATTAAAATTCCAGGACTTTCAAGGACATTCCAGGATATTTCCAGGACTTCCAGGACTAGTAGACACCCTGCGTAAAGATTGTCCTGAAAAACCCTTAGGTAGACATTTTAACGAGTTTAGCTCAATTTTTTGGATTTTTGGTCCGCCATTTACAATTTTTAAAAACTAATATCAAATTTGTAACCAGCGACCTCGAAAACCCCCAAGTAGTAATTTTCACGAGCCTAGCTCAATTTTTAATTTTATCCGCCATATTTAATCCGCCATTTTGAATTTTTGAATTTTGAATGGAGACACGTTATCAGTTTGTAAACTATGTTGTGGTTATTTTTATCGTCATATGTGAAGCTTTAAACAATAATATAGATCATATTAGTGGATTTTTTGTGTTTTTTATGTCGTTTAGGCGCCATATTTAAGTCGCCATTTTGAATTTCAAAAAGTGCCCAACGGGATTATAAAGTAGACATTCCAAGCTAATTTTTCCAATATGATAACATTTTTTTAAATTAAACCAATTATGGAGAGATGGGGTGGTCCGGTTGACAAAGAACGTCCCATTTATATTTATTATAATTATAATCCAATTAATAAAATAGCATTTTACAAGAAAAATGAAATTAATTATTAAAAGATATAGATATAGTATTTAAAAAAATTTATATTTAATTCATTTTATATAAATATAGAAAATTTTCTGGCGAAATCCATTTAAATTTAATATCATTAATTATCACTCATTTCAGTATTATATTATAATTCAATTTTTACAATTATTCATTTTCAGAAATTCAGCATTTTTGCATGTTTCATAAATGACAAAAAAAAACACTAAATTATTTTGCACTTATAGATTTTTACTTTTACTACTTATATATAAACAGATAAGAATCATAAAAAAATAAATAAAACTGTATAGGTATAAAAAAATGAAAAAACTTTTTCAAACCTTTGGAATATTTGTACTATATAAAATTATTCTATTTGCAAACTAAATTGTCGTGTGTAAAGTGCAAATTTTAGTTCAACATTGATAAAAAAAAAAAAAAAAAAAAAAAATTTCTATATGGAAAAGAAAATTATTCAAGGGAATAAAAAAATTACATTCTTTTATTAAAAAAAAAAATAAAAATAACATTAAAAAAAACCTATTTAATTTTCATTTATTTTAATTTGTTTTTATTAAATATAATTAATTCTATAGCAAAATAAATATATAGTGTGTAAAAATTTTAAAACGCGTCAAATATTTTTTTTAAATTGTTATTTATGTGATTTATTTTTTTCTCTCTTTTCACAATTCACTTTTGACAAAATATTTCCCCTGTTTTTATTTTCAATATGAGAGTTTGGTATATATAACATTTTTTTTCTACGTTTTTTATTTTTCGATTTATGTAGTAAATTCTCCGAAACATTTCGAGGAAGGCAACAATCAATTCAAACTCGTTTGTACGAAAATTCGTGAGAGACGATTTTTCGTGGGTCCCAATTTATGCTGTCAAAACGAATATGTGAAATATATATATATATATATACATAGTCCATATGTATATATGGACATAGTTGCACTTGCGATACTTTCGAGTAGCCGCAGGCTTCATACACAAACATGAAAACTGTAATGGCAACCAACAAATCGTCCTAGTGATATGACGACTTATAGTAAAGGCATACCATTTGAAATTACTGTTTATTTTATTCAAAAAATAAGTAAATAAATATACAAGCCAAACAAAAATATCTCAAAGTTACAAAATTGAAATTTTCATTTTATCATTTCTCGACAAATTCAAAGCTATTTCAATAAAATATAGAAAACAAAACTGAATTCAGTGTTGTTATGTATCATTTATGAAATTCAGTATCTTTAAGTAGCAAACTTCATATTGCTCAAAATAATCTTGACGATGTTTATTTTGAGTTTGCATCATAGAGAAAAACTTTTAATTTATAGATTATGATCAAGATTATAAGAATTTTATACTGTAATTAATAACACTGTATGACCTTGCAATATACTATTGGGAAAATATTAGGGTTAATTACATTGAAAATTTTTTTAAAAATTCAAATTTCGCGCCATTTTTTTATAGTTTTGTGTTACATGGTTGGCACTTCTGCTTGTCAGTTCATAAGGGCGCACTCACACCTTTTCGCTGCCTGCCTGCAGGAGTTGTCATGGCAACGTGAAGAAGTAACAGAGATAGTAAATTCAAATTTGAATTTTCTCTCTCTCTGTTACTCCTACACGTTGCCATGACAACTCCTGCAGGCAGGCAGGCAGCCAAAAGGTGTGAGTGCGCCCTAAGATGCGCCTAACCTAAAAAATTATATTTAATTTTGTAAACTGTTGCAAATCAGATTCGAGAAATAAAAATAATTAAAATTTATATAGTTATATAAATCATTAAATTGTACAACAATAATCATAATAATAATAACATCATATCAGAGAGAAATATAAAATTGTCGAAAGGAAATCATAACTAATTCTTTAATTTCAAATTAATTGAAATGAATTCTCAAGATTAAATTAATTAATTTCATATCCTTTTCTATATCCGTAATATCGTCTCGCCTTGACATATACGTTATCAATTAAATATATCTTCTTTTCTCTTATTTTTTGCGCTCTAAGAATTTTCTTCGAAGCTGCAATTGAAAACTATTTATTAAATGATTTCTTTCTTTTAATTTTACAGGAGTGGCACCAGATTCAGAAGAATTTAACGATAAAAATGACAAAAAAAATACAGATATCGTTCTAATAACACCAGGAGGAAGACGTGTTGAAACATTTGGATCACCTTTTGAAATGTTTCCCAGAGAAAATATAGATACAACACAAGATGACTATTTTGATTTTGGAATTTTTCAAAGTTTGAGAGGTAAGTCACAAATTAAGTATTCAGGATCATTAAAAATTGAAAATTACAATTAAAAATGATATTTAAATATATTTTTTTTAAAAATCAGCTAATTATAACATTGGAAAAATCATAATATTTAAAACGTTCAATATTGGTGAAGAGTTTATAAGGGATGCAATTTCATTAAATAATACTAAATTTTTAATGCCTTCCTACTTAAAACAATGAGAAGTGAAAACTTCAATATACTTTTGAAAGTTTTGTGCCTTCTGAAGTTTGAGGCGTTTACATCTTAATGCTTTCTATTATGAAATATTCAAAGCCAAACTTTCAATAATATGGACTGATTCTATCAGAAATCCATGAAAGTTGAATTAATAAAATCTGCTATCAATTTGTCGAGTCTCAACAAATTGAAATTTAAATATATAAAGAAATTGTAAAATTTACATATTTTAAGGGTTTAAAAATTATTAATCTCTATAAAAAAAGTATAGATCAAATTAGGGTCAGAAGTTCACGTCGTCAATGACAATTTGACCTTCACTTTTCAAAATAATCGCTATTTCATATTTTTTTGGATCCATTGCAAAAAAAAACAATTTATTCCTAATCGAAGAGCATCGGATTCACTTTAAATCCGTTACTTGGGGTTTTTTTGGGTGTCAATTTTAAAAAATTGACAACAAATTTGTAATCAACGACCCCAAAAACTCCCGATTAACGGGTTTCGAATAAATCCGATGCTCTTTGATTAGGAACAAATTTTTTTTTTTTCATAATGAACTAAAAAAATGTGAAATGGCGAATATATTGAAATTTTGACCTTAACTTTTAAAACGGCTAACGTTATTGAATTATTATTATTCATTTATCTTGTAAAAAGTTTGTTCAAAAAAAAAGTTATCGATTCGCGCACAGTGTAATATTTTGCAAATTATTTTTGAGTTAAAAAATTAACCTTGTATTCGTATTCAGCTATCCCTAATCAGATATACCCTACAAACTGCTAAGTAATTAGTATCAAGTGCATCCGATGAATTGTTCAAAAATTCGTTCACTATACTTTAAATTGGAGAAAATTTCTGGAGCGGTGTTAATCATATACAAGAAAATTCTACACTGCTAACTGTACACGAGAAAATTCTCAACAAAATTTTTCAAAAATATATTCTACACAAATAAATACTACATCCCAAAACCCTACACAGTAAACTGAAACTTCTCACCGTAAACTGTACACAAGTAAAGTCTATACATATTAATATAAAAATGAAAATGACATTTTCAAATAATTCTACACAAATAAATCATATATTTGTAAACTCTACACAGCTATAAAAAATAATTAATGATATTGTTTTATAATTCTATACACAATTAAATTCTATACATGAAAATTGTCATTTATCATTTTGGAATATTCTTAAAATTGGGTATAGGTTATCATTAATTATTTTATATGACTATGTAGAGTTTACAAATTTAAGATTTATTTGTGTAGAATTATTTGAAAATGTCATTTTCATTTTTATATTAATGTGTAGAGTTCGGTGAGAATTTTCTAGTGTTCAGATTACTGTGTAGGGTTTTGGGATGTAGTATACATTAAAGACCTGGAAAGAGTTAGTTTCTGAAAAATCCGCAGTATCTCCCGAGTTTTTATTTATGGGTACTTACGGTTTGCATACCAGTAATAATGCATTCAAAGAAGGTGCCAAAGCTATATAGTGGAAACCTACCGAATTCCTAAGAGCAATATTTTATTTGTTCAAGGATTCCTCCGCTCGAGGAGAAAATTACACAGAGTTTTCAGGAACTGACGAATTCGCATTAAAATTTTCTTCGGTTAGATAGCTGTGCATCACATAAGATTTAAGTTAAGTTCACAATCACAACACTTGAAAATTTTTAATTATTTTTATGGTTCAAATAATTATCAATAATTTATTTATTATAAATGAACAAAATTTAAGCAATGCACGCTTGATAAATATTTCTAATGCGTTGTCAATTAATGCAATTAATAATTTCCTATTACACAATATCATAATCGACATATATGATATTTGTAAACAAACAGGGTTGAGAAACAAGAGCCCAAAATATGTTCGTCCAAAGCAGAGTTGGGTAAGATTGAAATTCGCTTTGGACGAATATATTTTGGGCTTTTTTTTGGATACGTAGCTGGAATATTGGAACCGTTTTTGAAAGAATTCCAAAGTGAAAACCCAATGGCTTCTTTACTTTTTTCTTCGATCAAGGGAATAATTGTGAATTTAATGAAAATTTTTCGTGAAACAAGAAGTTCTCGAGAAAGCAACAAAAGTTACCAAGGTAGATCTCAATTGTCAAGAAAATTTGAAAGTGGCTGCAGATATTACTTTTCAAGACAGTTTTTCGATAAATGCAGAACTCTGATTGCTAAGCGTATTATAAGAAATTATTGTTAGGTTTACAAAAGATCAGATCGCCTTGACACCTTCTGGATCTCGAGAAAGAAAAATAGTTGCATCTGCACTGCAAAAAGAAGTATCTTATTTTCAGATGTTTTAGTCGCCTTTTTAAGATGTTTTTTATAACTTGCTTCTAAATTATCTAAAACAACTTAAAATGCATTAGTTTCTTAAGATATAAGATGGATAGGAAGATACTTTTGGTAACTTGCTTCCAATGTATCTTATAATAAGATACTTCTTTTTGCAGTGTGCTGCACGTGAAAAGATCTTCCAAAATAAGCGATTAAATGAGAAAGAGCTTCAAGAAAATAAGAAAACTCACGCTTGAATATAAGAATATAAAACTGATTAAATCGATGATATTATTCAAACTCTTGCGTTGCAATTAAAGCAAAAGACTTTATATTAAAATTTAAGAAAATTTTATAGTAATATTTTACTAAAAATTATATAGTTTTTCCCTACTATAACATAGAATTATAATATAGAATTTTAACGCGATCCTTGTTTGACTTTTCCATGTGAATAGTTCGAAATATCCGCTTGTGTGTAAATAATACGTAAATATATATATATATAGCGCAATATAAGCATTGACTATGATGTGCATATAAAAGACAAAAGGGCAATGCTAATACGGCCTTAGATATTATATACCAAATGCACTTATATCAATTTTCCATTACCAATGGCTGGTTGATGCCATCACACATTTATAGTCATCCACATTTCGCTTACGTGAGGATTGTGGAACATAACTTCCGGGCGTCTCTAGCAGTGGTTTGTCGATAACTGCTTTCCAGTTTCACGAGAACGACAAGAACGTCTATATATACATATATATATATATATATACATACATTTATATAGAGGAACCAGTCAGCTCACTGGGACTTCAGATTACCGGAACTTCAACTTAACTGGAACGCAATTGTCCTCCATAGCCATTCGAATAATGTCACTATTGCCCTTTAAACCACATCTATTTCAAGGTATACTCTCATTTTATTTTGCACATTTTCTCCAATATTTTATATTTTTATATTATACACGGGAATGTAGTCATGAGTGGACCACTTCCTGGTCTTTTATGTAAAATAAGTTTGTGCATAAAAATGTTTATTGTAATAGGTGCGCATTGTCACAAAACTATTTTTTAGTGAAAATCCGAACGCATATTTGTATTGAGAACAGGTGATTGAAAAAATAACCTAACGAAAAGTAGCGAAAAAGTATTGAAATCTCATTTAAAAATAGGAATCTTTTTGCATTTTGGAGGTGAAATTTGCTCTTCACGTATTATATAGACAGTGAAATTAATCATGCAAAACGGATAAGCAAAAATTTTAATGTTTATTCAAAAAAAAATTATGCTCACAAAAATGGGGCGCATGATTATTCCATAAAGTGAATTATTTAGAATTTTATTAGATAGAATTGTACTTTATTCGATTTATTTATGTTTTTCGAATTAATGTTTAATCGAATTTAAATTAACCAGAATTTATACTTAACAGAATTTCTATGAAGTCAAATTATTATTTAACAGAATATTCTTTCAACATAATTTCCATTTACCACACTTTTTATTCAAAAGAATTATTTTTAACACAAATTTTGATTTATTAGAATTCTTATTAAACAGAATTTCGTCTGAGTCGAATTTTTAAATGCCAGAATTTTTATTAAACCAAATGATCATTTAACCGAATTTTTATTAACACAAAATGTCATTTAATAGAAATCTTAAAACTCAGAATATTTATTTATCCTACATTGCAAATAGTCGAATAATCAAACGGCAGAAATATTTCGGCGACAATTTTAAAATTGTCCAATCAGAAAATGTCAAGAAAATTGTGATTGGACAATTTTAAAATTGTCGCCGAAATATTTCTGTCGTTTGATTATTAAATTAAAAGTCAACTTACTTTACTTTGTTTTAGATATAAAAATGAAAAGTAATTTCCTTTTTAGTTTTGTGTTTAACATTAAAAAATTAAAAGTTAACTTTGTTTATAGATTTGATTTAAGTTATACTTAAATCAAAAGTCTCTTAATATTTATTTAATATTTAATTTAATATTTATTCAGCCGCAAATGTGAAAGTGAATCCAATAAAGGGTTTTGAGCAAGCTTCTACATAAATTCCCCACAACATCAATAATTTAATGCTATCACGTACACTTTAACTTTGCGCATTATTGTCGTGTGCACTTTTGACATACATAAAATGAACAGATTTTGTTTCAATACAAAATAGAATTCCAGTCGACTTTTGTTTCTTTAAAGGAAAGCAAAATTAATGGAAAGTAGTTTTTTTTTTGTTTCGATACATTTATTTAATCAAATTTTTATTTGTCAGATCTTTCATTTGTTCAAATAAACATTCGGCAGAAATATTTCGGGGAAAATTTTAAAATTAACCAATCAAAATTTAATGGATAATTTTTGCTTGATTAATTTTAAATTTTGCGCCGAAATATTTATGCCGAATGTTTACTCGAACAAATGAAAGTTTTTTGTCAAATAAAAATTCTGTTAAATGAATTTTTGGTT